CTGGTTGAGGTGATGTTTGCCAGGATTTTTCATGTACTCTATTCTACCTACCTTTCTATACTAAATTATTTGAATGCAGTCACTGTGGGCAACCCTCACTGAAAAAGTGAGAGTTTATGCTCCCTTTTGTTAAGGAATGGGTATCTATATAAATTATTTTTAACTTTTACATGAGAGATATGTTTCTTTCCCTGTATTTATTTAGTCAATAATTTATTGTTATCAGTATTGACTCATGGATATTTATTTTATATTTTAGCTTATGATCCAGTAAATACAATTTTGTTTTATTTTGTTGTGCAAATTGCTCCAGCTTTGACTGTTGATAGCTCTTTCAGTTGGCACCTGTGTCCCTTTGATATACTCTCATCAGTGTATGATTTTTTTTGGTTCTGTTTTTTGAGCACTTTCTTACTTTCTGGCTCTCTAAAATGCTCTAGTCCTAGAATTAGGCACTTCTCCAAGGATATCTGGTTCATTTCATTGTATATTTATATGCAACCATCAATTAAAAAATAAAGTAACATTTTAATGGAATAAAGCAATTCCAAATACTTATAGAAAAAAAAGACCAAAAAGAGATTTAAGACTAATATAATGAAAACTTCAGAACATTATTGAAAGAAATTAAAAGGATCTGAATAAATAGAGAAACAGAGTATATTCATAAATTGGAGATTAAATATTGTAAAAGTATTTATTTCCCATATAAATTGATCCATAGATTCAATCTAATTTCAATCAGAATCTCAGAGGAGATATTGTGAAAATTGACAAGTTTATTCTAAAATTTATAGTAAAAGTAAAGGATCAAAAATAGTCAAGATAATCTTGAAGGAGAAGAACTTAATATAAAGTTATAATAAGAAAGTGTGGCACTAGCTAAAAGATAAACAAGTAATAAAATAAAGAAATATTCTAACACAATAGAGTCTTGAAAGAAAACTACATATGTATGGCCATTTCTACCATCTAACATTTTAATATAATAAATTAAAACATAAGAGTTGAAAGAAGTTTACAGCAAATATATTCACTACCTAGATTCCACCATTATTATTTCGTTTATGTATCCATCCATTAATCTATCATGTTTTTTGTATTCCAAAATAAATTGTAGACATTACCACTCTTCACCTTAAATATTTCAACATGAATAGTATTAACTAGAGTTCAACATTTCTTTACAACTCTTTACTTATGATGTAAACTTTATATATGATAAAATGTACACTTAAAGCTACAATTGATGAAATCTAAGAAATCCATACATCTGTGTAACATAATCCCCTATCAAGTTATAGAATATATCTCTCATATTGGAAAGTTTCATTGTGTCTATTCCCAGTCATTCCCTGTTGGATTCCTCAGAGACAATAACAATTCTGATCTTTTTCACTATAGCATTATTTGCATGTTCTAGAATTTCATATGAATGGAATCATGTAGTATGTTCTCTTGTATCTATCTTGTATCATTTAGCGTAATAGCTTTTATTTATCCTTGTTGCATGTATTGAGAGTTTATACATTTTTATTAAGTAGTATTTCATTGTATTAATGTATTAGTTTGTTTATCCCTTTTTCTATTGGTGGACAATGGGCCGTTTCCAGGTTTTTTTCTGTTATGAATAAAACTGCCAAGCACATTCTTTTTATGTACTTTGTGAACATGGGGTTTAGTTTCCATTGCATAAATATCTAGGGATGAAATTGATATGTCATAAGGTAGGTCTATGTATAGTTTTATAGGAAACTGCATTCACTTTTTTTCAAAATATCTGTAACATATTACAGCCTTCTCAAGTACCTAGCTGATGGTACAGAGAACACAAACGGAAATGCAAGAACACACTGCCATGTCTGTTCTTGAGTCCAGAGTTTCCTAGTTAGTTTTCTTTTCTCTACCTCTTACAATCTTCCTATACTTGCTTTAGATGTAAAAACCAAAGGTTTTAGCTGTATTTAATGGGAGAAATAGGGATAAATGTATCTTCTTTTTCTTGTGTGAAGTTGGAAATACATTGCTGTTTTTATTTTATTTCATCTTGAGTATGTTGATAATAGGTGGGACTAGAGTCTATCAGGCAGAGTCTCTGTACAACTTTTTCCTGGCCGAGGGAGGATAGAGCTGGCTGTGATTTTGAAGACAGAAAACACAGCAATCAGTGTTTATGAGTAAGAGAAGAGACACAGCAGCCAATTTATAACTAGGAGTAATTTTCTGATCTTCGTCTTATGGGAAGGTGCTTAAAAGAAAAAGGCTCAGATCACTATTAAGGGATGCTAGTTGATGGGAAGGGGCCTATGGGCAGAGCACAGCATGAGTAGCTCAGAACAATGGCAGATAAATAAGTGAGATGCATCTGTGAGTAGTTCCTAGTGTGTTCAAGACATAGTTAAGTGGTGTTTTTTAAAACCGAAGAAAGAGTAGAAGAAAGACAAGGGTAGTGACAAAGTAATTGCCTCTAGTTGTAGGATGTGATGTAGGAAAACAAGATAACTCCCCATGTTCCCATATTCACTACCTTGCCTTGGTCTTCAGTAGTCACAACTTCAGCTGGAGAGAGGAGTCTGTCAGATATAATCCAGGCAGTTGAAATGGTGAAGAGGAATCTGACATTGAGCTCAGGTCAGTTTTGAGTAAAGCACTTGAGTTGGGAAGAAACATGTAAGACAAAGGAACAAGAAGAATGTATTTTTGTAATTAATAAGGGGGCATCAGAGAAGGTGATTTTTTTCTTTGTAAGAGAGAACAGTAAAATGGAAACCAATAGGAAATAATGACAAATAGTGGAGTTAAAGCCTTTAGTAATCACAGTACAGAAAAAAACATTATTATTGGTATAGAAAAATACCTTATTTTCCTTGTTTTCAGTTACTACCCATTTATTGACTCACAGATTGTGATGTGGTTTGGCTCTGTGTCTCCACCCAAATTGCATGTTGATTTGTAATTCCCAATGTTAAGGGAGGAACTTGGTGGGAGGTGATTGGATCATGGGACAGATTTCCTCCTTGCTGTTCTCAAGATAGTGAGTGAGCTCTCAAGAGATCTGATGATTTAAAAGTGTGTGGCACTTCCCCTTTGTCTCTCTCTCTTTCTCTCTCTCTCTCTCTCTTTCTCCTGTTCTAACATATGAATATGTGCTCACTTCCCCTTTGCCTTCTACCATGATTGTAAATTTCCTGAGGCCTACCAACCATGTTTCCTGTACAGCCTATGGAACTGTGAGTTGACTAAACCTCTTTTCTTTATACATTACCCAGGCTCAGGTAGTTCTGTATAGCAGTGCGAGAATGAACTAATACAGAAAATTGGCACCAAGAGTAGGGTATTGATATAAAGATACATGAAAATGTGGAAGCAGCTATGGAACTGGGTAACAGGCAGAGTTTGGAACAGTTTGGAAGGCTCAGAAGACAGGAAGATGAGCGAATGTTTGGAACTTCCTAGAGATTTGTTGAATGGTTGTGACCAAAATGCTGATAGTCATATGGACAGTGAAGTCCAGACTGAGGTGGGCTCAGAAAGAGATGAGGAACTTATTGGGAACTAGAGTAAAAGTCACTCTTGCTATGCTTCAGCATGTATAATATATAATTATAGTAAGTTATATGCATGTATAAAGTTCCAAGGAATGTTAGTGGTCTAGAGAGAATGATGGACTATCCTTCTACATCTCTGAGTTCTGACCTACTGAGAAATAAACCTAAAGAGCTAGATATACAAACAGATGGCAATTATGGAAAACCTAATTGAAATTGCATAGGAATCCTATTAATTCTTATTGCCAGACACTGAATTGCTAAAATGAAGTGGTTATGAGGTTTTAACCAATTCCATTCACAGTTATTTAAGTAACAGTATTGTAATTATTTGAAAATTCTGATTTTTGTGGATCCAAGGCGAGAAAAAAGAAAACAAATATTTTCCACACATGTAGTGCTTCTCCTTTTCCCTGCTCAGGGTGGACACATTGTAGTTACTATTTTAGATTATATGTACTTAACATTTTTGGACCGCTTTGTTTTTGCTTGTGGTTTTTATAAATTTAATTTTTAATTTTTATGAGTACAGATTATGTGTATATATTATGTTTTTTGATTTTGCACCATCTCTTACTTGGTATGAACTTAGTGTATGGCATACAGAAGCTGTTTTCTTCAGAGGGAAAAGCTGACATACTTTTGGCTTATAAAAAGTTTGTAACAATATGTGTTTATAAATTGCTTACTTTGAGATGGACAGGTGAAAGACACTACATAATTGCCAAGTATTACTATCTGTCTAAATTTAGCTGAGTGAACAAATCTTTTTAATGCCCATTTTAATGACACAGTTGTTCCATATGGTGGACTTCAGACATATAAACATTGTGTTAGTACATTCCCTGGAGAGAACCAGATTGTCCAGGTGTGCCATATTTTAAACTCGAGGTAGACTTAAGAGGCACAGCTTTTCATAATTCAGCCCAAAGAGCAACTCAGATGAAGTTAATTTCTCTATTGTTTCAGACAACACAGGGCTCTTTAGATAATGAAACAAAACTATGTATTATATATTGAAAAGGAGGTCCTAATCATTTTATGAGTTTGAGTCAGCATAGATTTTAGAAAGAGGAAGTCCCTGGGAGCTGAGATTGAGTTATTTGCATAATTTTTCTTAAGTTTGTTAAAGACTCCGACTGGGCTTCTTTCTGATGATTCCGTGAAGACAGTGTTCCCCAGAGAGGTCTTTGATAGCATCTTATGGGTCTTGATGTGTTTTTTCCATTGTGGTTCAAAGCTTCTCAGGGTCTTTAGTTTGATTGACAGAACAATTAAGCATAGGCAACAAAGTTTTCCAACCTCAGAAATACATTCAGAAAATAGACTTGATTTTAAGAAGAGTCTAATTTTTACTGAGAGAGATTCCTTTTTCCTCTTTTGCATTGTATTTTGTATTTCTTGTTGAACTAGATTCCTATTTTGTCAATTGATTTAAACTTTCTCTTTCAGAATAACTCAGATGTTGAATGTAGTGTCTTGTGGAAGCCTGACATCATTAAGGACTGGAAGAGAAAAATCTGAGTAAGACAGTGTAATCAAGATGCTTGCTCTTTGATGTGCTGCTGGAAGGGTCTGCTTAGCTTGGTGGGTTTACCTTTTGACTGTTGTAGTCAAGGCATAGACAAACTGACAATGTGGACCACAGTAACCCCAAATCATGTGTACAGGTGACATTTTCCACCCTAGGTAGCCAATGAGTGCTTTGTGGACAGAAAAGATGGGAAGAGAGTACAGACCTTTGAATATGACCCAACCCACCCAATTTCTTGTCCCAATTATCAACTAGGAAAAAATGGTCTTTGTTCTCCTTTTAATAACTACTGTGTACTGGCTTGGTGTACAGTTTAGAAGAGAGTCAGCTATCTTAAATCCAATATGAGGCTTAAGAGAAAGGTTGTGATTATTAGAAGCTTTATGAAGATGGGGCTTGGACCTCTGGAAAGAGCCCCCTCTAGTACCTTGAATGGGTGCAACATGAAACTGATTTTAGAAGTGGAAAATAACTGGTAACTGGAAATAACTGCCATTTCCAAAGCAAAGGATTGTAGCTGGGATGATGCCGACAAGAACACTGAACAAACAGGAGAAAGCATGCCCCTTATGCCTCTTCAGGTTTTCTGTCTCTTTCTGTTACTCCCATTAGTATAACATAGTAGAAAGCCAGCTAGCCAAGGAGAAAGGTTGTTTGTAGTACTCCATGCCCAGTATCCCAAAGCTTAACGTAGAAAATGGATTTGGAGCCACAAGACATAGTACATCTCCCAATCCTTTTTTGTTTGTTTTAGGTTCAGGAGTCATATGAAGGTTTGTTATATAGGTAAATTTTTTGTCACAGGAGTTTGGTGTACATGTTATTTTGCCACCCAGGTAATAAGCATAGTACCTGATAGTAGTTTTTCAATCCTCAACATCCTCACTCTCTCCATTCTCAAATAGGCCCTGTGTCTGTTGTTCCCCAATTTGTGTCCACATGTATGCATTGTTTAGCTTCCACTTATAAATGAGAACATGTGGTATTTGGTTTTCTACTTCTTCATTAGTTTGCTTGAGATAATGGCCTACAGCTCCATCCATGTTCCTGAAAGGACGTGATCTCATTCTTTTATATGACTGTGTAGTATTCCATGTTTTATATGTGCCACATTTTCTTTATCCAGTCTACCACAGTGGGCATTTAAGTTGATTCTATATCTTTGCTATTGTGAATAGTGTTGCAATGGACATACGCATGTAAATATCTTTATGATAGAACAATTTATATTCCTTTGGGCTTATACCAAATAATGGATATAATGAGACCCAAAAATGGTGGGTTGAATGGTAATTCTGCTTTGAGTTCTTTAAGAAATGACCACACTGCTTTCCACAATAGCTGAATTTATGTTCCCACCAGCAGTGTGTAAGTGTTCCCTTTTCTCCACAACCTCACCAACATCTGTTATTTTTTGACTTTTTAATAATTGCCATTCTGACTGGTATGAGATGGTATTTCATTGTGGTTTTGATCCTCATTTTTGTAATGATTAGTGATGTTGAACATTTTTTCTTTTTTCTTTTTATTTATTGTGCTTCAGGTTCTGGGATACATGTGCAGGTCATGCAGGATTGTTGCATAGGTACACACATGGCAATGTGGTTTGCTGCCTCCATCCTCCCGTCACCTGTATCTGGAATTTCTCCCCATGTTATCCCTCCCCAACCTCCCTACCCACCACTGCACCTTCCTGAGTCCCCACCAGCAGACCCCAGTGTGTGATGCTCCCCTCCCTGTGTCCATGTGTTCTCATTGTTCAGCACCTGCCTATGAGTGAGAACATGTGGTGTTTCATTTTTCTGTTCTTGAGTCAGTTTGCTGAGAATGATGGTTTCCAGATTCATCCATGTTCCTACAAAGGACACGAACTCGTTGTTTATGGCTGCATAGTATTCCATGGTGTATATGTGCCACATTTTCCTTGTTCAGTCTATCGTCCATGGGCATTTAGGTTGGTTCGAGCTGTTTGCTATTATAAACAGTGCCGTTATGAACATACGTGTGCATGTATCTTTATAACAGAACGATTTATAGTTCTTTGGATATATACCCAGTAATGGGATTTCTGGGTCAAATGGAATTTCTATTTCTAGATCCTTGAGGAATCGCCATAGTCTTCCACAATGGTTGAACTAATTTACACTCCCACCAACAGTGTAAAAGTGTTCCCATTTCTCCACATCCTCTCTAGCATCTGTTGTCTCCAGATTTTTTTAATGATCGCCATCCTAACTGGTGTGAGATGGTATCTCAATGTTGTTTTGATTTGTATTTCTCCAATGACCAGTGATGATGAGCATTTTTTCATGTTTGTTGGCCTCATATGTGTCTTATTTCGAAAAGTGTTCATGTTCTTGACCCACTTTTGAATGGGTTTGTTTTTGTTTTTTTTTTTTCTTGTAAAACTATTTTAGTTCTTTATAGATTCTGGATGTTAGCTCTTTGTCAGATGGGTAAATTTCTAACATTTTTTCTCCATTCTGTTGGTTGCTGGCTTGTTCTAATGATTCTTTCTTTTGCTGTACAGAAGCTCTTAAGTTTAATTACATCCCATTTGTCTATTTTGGCTTTTGTTGCCAGTGCTTTTGGTGTTTTAGTCATGAAGTCCTTGCTTATGCCTATGTCCTGAATGGTTTTGCCTACGTTTTCTTCTCGGGTTTTTATGGTGTTAGGTCTTATGTTTAAGTCTTTAATCCATCTGGAATTAATTTTAGTGTAAGGTGTCTGGAAGGGGTCCAGTTTCTGTTTTCTGCACATGGCTAGCCAGTTATCCCAAGACCATTTATTAAACAGGGAATCCTTTTCCTATTGCTTGTTTTTGTCAGGTTTGTCAAAGATCAGATGGTTGTAGATGTATGGCATTGCCTCCAGGGCCTCTGTTCTGTTCCATTGGTCTATATATCTGTTTGGGTATCAGTACCATGCTGTTTTGATTACTGTAGCCTTGTAGTTTAGATTGAAATCAGGTAGCATGATGCCTCCAGCTTTGTTCTTTTTGCTTAGGATTGTCTTGACTATGCATGCACTCTTTTGGTTCCATATGTAGTTTAAGGTAATTTTTTCCAGTTCTGTGAAGAGGGTCATAGGTAGCTTCAGGGGGATAGCAGTGAATCTATAAATTACTTTGGGCAGTATGGCTATTTTCACAATATTCATTCATCCTAACCATGAGCATGGAGTGTTTTTCCATCTGTTTATATCCTCTCTTATTTCCTTAAGCAGTCATTTTTGTTCTCCTTGAAGAAGTCCTTTAAATCTTTTGTTAGTTGTATTCCTAGATATTTTATTCTCTTTGTAGCAATTGTGAATCGGAATTTACTCTTGATTTGGTTCTCTTTTAGTCTGTTATTGGTGTATAGGATTGCTTGTGATTCTACACATTGATTTGTATCCTGAGACTTTGCTGAAGTTGCTTATCGGTTTAAGGAAATTTTGGGCTGAGATAATGGGGTCTTCTAAATATACAGTCATGTCACCTGCAAATAGAGACAATTTGGCTTCCTCCTTTCCTAAGTGAATACCTTTTATTTATTTTTTCTTGCCTAATTGCTCTGGCTAGAACTTCCAATACTATATTGAATAGGAGTAGTGAAAGAGGGCATCCTTGCTTAGTGCCAGATTTCAAAGGGAATGCTTCTAGTTTTTGTCCATTCAGTATGATATTGGCTGTGGGTTTGTCATAAATAGCTTTGATTATTTTGAGATACGTTCCATCAACACCTAATTTATTAAGAGCTTTTAGCATAAAAGGCTGTTGAATTTTGTCGAAGGCCTTCTCTGCATCTATTGAGATGATCATGTGGTTTTGTCTTTGGTTCTGTTTACACAGTGGATTACGTTTATAGACTTGCGTATGTTGAACCATCCTTGCGTCCCAGGATGAAGCCCACCTGATCGTGATGGATAAGCTTTTTTATGTGCTGTTGCAATTGATTTGCCAGTATTTTTTGAAGATTTTTGCATCTATGTTCATCATGGATATTGGCCTGAAGTTTTCTCTTTTTGTTGAGTCTCTTTTGGATTTTGGTATCAGGATGATGCTGGTCTCATAAAATGATTTGGGAGGGATTCCCTCTTTTTTGTATTGTTTGGAATAGTTTCAGAAGTAGTGGTACCAGCTCCTCTTTGTATGTCTGGTAAAATTTGGTTGTGAACCCATCTGGACCTGGGTTTATTTTGGTTGGTAGGCTATTAAATGCTGCCTCAACTTCAGTCCTTGTTATTGGTCTATTCAGGGTTTCAATTTCTTCCTGGTTTAGGCTTGGGAGGGTGCAAGTGTCCAGGAATTTATCCATTTCTTCCAGGTTTACGGATTTATGTGCACCGAGTTACAACCAGTACCAGCCACTCCAAAAATGTACCAAATGATAAAGACCATTGACACAATGAAGAAACTGCATCAACTATCAGTCAAAACAACCAGCTAGCATCAAAATGGCAGGATCAAATTCACACGTAACAATATTAACCTTAAATGTAAATGGGCTAAATGCCCCAATCAAAAGACACAGACTGGCAAATTGGATAAAATGTCAAAACCCATCAGTGTGCTGTATCCAGGAAACTTACCTCATGTGCAAGGACACACATAGGCTCCACATAAAAGGATGGAGGAAGATTTACAAAGCAAATGGAGAGCAACAAAAAGTAGGAGTTGCAATCCTAGTCTCTGATAAAATAGACTTTAAACCAACAGAGATCAAAAGAGACAAAAAAGGCATTACATAATGGTAAAAGGATCAGTGCAACAAGAAAAGCTAATGATCCTAAACATATATGAACCTAACCCAAGAGCACCCAGATATGTAAAGCAAATTCTTAATGACGTACAAAGATATATATGATATATTTGATATATCTGTCTGAGATATATAGGGTATATCTCATATCTATCATATATATTACTACTGGGTCATATATATATATATATATATATATATATATATATATGTCATATATACACTCTAGGTCATATATATATATTAGTAATATATATCATATATATTTGATAAATATGAGCTATTTATATGTATATACTA